AATTCTGATTTCGCTGGCGTCGAAAATGAGAGCTAACAAATTGCCCCCAAGAAATGTCCTTTCGCCAGTCTTGGTAGGAAGGTCATTTTTTCCAACCGTTTCGACGCTTGTGAATTTGCATGGCCTTGACTGAACAATCCACTACTTATTTCATGATTAACTGTTCATTTTCTTTTATCCCACGCTTATGACATCATGTCATCATGATAAATCCTTAAACGTCTTTTCAGCCGTATTTATCATCACTTTGTCTTGAAAACGTATGTTTTGCAGTTTGACCATAACTGCCAACACTCATCATTTTTCAACATCAAACACGCGTCCCACTATCTGATTAACTTTAACGGTGAATTCAAGCCTTCAGGATTTCCAAACGCCTATAAATACCTCCTTTCACCATTTTGTGAACTTTTTACACTTTCCAGAATCTCAAGCATCTTGTCTCTTTCTTCAGTTTTCTTTACCAAACTTAGAGAAAAAACCATCTTCTTTCACTTCCTTCAACAATGGCGTCTTCCCAATCCAACGTTCATGAGAAGAAAACCCAGAAGGGTAGAGTTACTCAGTTCAAGCAAACCATCCCTCCTTTTGCGAATATTTCTGGCCCTTAACTACTGGAAAATCGTCACTGTGTGCCATAACCTACCACTGAAGCGGCACATAGCATCTACCAATCTCAGGTAATGATTCCTTTAATTGTTTTAGATGAACCCTACACACTTTCTGGTCCTTTAGCTCAGGTTGACACTTCTGATGGGAAGCTAAGTGAGTTTCTGCCCTCTTACCAAAAATCTAGGCCGTTAGGGTAAAAAGGATTTTCCAGGCTCACCACTACTGCTGCCGAAGAACCCTCTTTGCCTAAGATTGACCTGAAGTATCTTACTGACGGTACTAGATTAGTGAGAGTCGTCAGTCCCCTTAAGGACTTTGACCTTTGGATGGCGAAGCTGGAGAAAGTTAAAGCTGACCATTGGAAATCCTTTAGATTAGTCGGTCATGTTTAGGGAAAACAAAACATAAACGATTTTAATTGCGGAAGTAAACATAATTGCGGGTAGAAAAAAGTAATTAAGACGAAGGGAATAAGTGCGATTAAATAAGGTAAGGAAAATAAAGGGCGAGACAAAATAAAGATAAATGTTGAATAAATAAATAAACCTGCTCTGAACGGAGTCTTGAATCTGATACAAACTGCAATGCTGAAAGTAAATCTTGGCAGAAAGTAAACGACTGAAATAAATTGTTGCAGAAATAAAGGATGCTCCAAACTTGATACAGACTCAATCAACACTGCAATACCTCTTCGATGTGAAGAGAATATCGCTTTACAAATTTGAAGGTATAAGGGCTTAAGTTTGCACAGAGTTTGAATGGTTGAAAAATGGTATGGAAATGGGTATTTATAGGAGTCTAAAATCCTAGAAAATAGCTTGGAACTGCTTCAACTTCGTGGAGAAAAAGTAGGAACCAGTTGTGATTCTTTGGTGACCAAGCTTTGCTGGTTTGCAACCGTTTGGGCATTCCAAAGAGTGGCGACCGCCACACCCTCATGGCGGCCGTAAATGCTCATAAAGTGGGCATGACTAGGTCATCCCACTACTTGGCGCGTGGACCACCCATGGCACCCATAGGATGAATGCCATGGGGGTTGCCAGAGGTGCTTGTCTGCTCCATTTCCTCTCTTTTTGTCCGTTTTGCCTCGTTTCTTTGCAAACAACTCCTGATTAATGAATTTCCTGAAACAAAGTAAATAACTAGCATAATAGTAGAAAAAGGAATTAAAAACAATAAAAAAACATGCGTAAATCAAGTCATATAATTTATAGGTTTAGGCGTCATCAGTGATCCTTTATCCCATTTCCTTTTCATTCTGGTTGTTGAAGGTTTGGCGAGGTTTTTTTAGTAAGGCTGTCGAAATTGGTGTGTATGAAGGCTTCTCCTTTAGTGAAATGTGTAAAGTGGATGTCCTGCAATTCGCGGACGACACCCTTATTGTTGGCAACAGTAATTGGCAGAATATATGAGCTATCAAAGCAATTTTGAGGGGATGTAAACTAGTGTCTGCCCTTGGTATTAACTATTCGAAGAGCAGGGTAATCAGTCTCAACTTGAACCAGCACTTTCTGCAAGTTGTTGCATCCTTCTTGTCTTGAAGGATTGAGGATAAGTCTTTTGTATTCTTGGGCATTCCTATCAGCTCCAATCCTAGACATGTTGCTTCATGGACATATTTGGTGAACAAGGTTTGAGCTAGACTCATAGGTTGGAAAGGTAAGTTATCATCATTTGAAGGTAAAATTACGCTGATAAAATCCATTCTCGGTAGCCTTGCTATCTTTCTTATGTCATTTTAAAAAGTGTCGGTGACAGCTTGGAAAGAATTAGAGCGCATCCAAAATAGGTTCTTATGGGGTGGCTCGACGTAACAACCTAAAACAATTTGGATAACATGGAACAAAGTCTTTCGTCCTATCGATCAAGGAGGGCTTGGGATTAAGAAGATGGATCTTTTTAATATATCGGTTTTACAAAAATGGAAGTGGAGGATATTAACCGAAAAAGCGGACCTTTGGTTGGATGTTTTAGCAGCTAGGTACGCTAATATCCGATTGGCAGCATTGGGTGTTTCTGAAGCAGTGACTCCCAAAACTAGTTCTACCTGATGGAAGGATTTGATCAATCCTGAGTTCGGGGTTTTTAACTCGATTTCTGCATTTTTGAGTCAGGTCGGAATGACTGTTGGAGAGGGTTCTTCAATCATGTTCTAGTATAGAAGATGGTCTGGTACTTCAACCATGCAGGAAAATTTTCCAAACCTGTTTCTATTGAGTTCTCTTAAAGGGGCTCCTATTTTTAATATGGGGAGCTGGTTTGATGGAGTGTGGAGATGGAGTAACCTTGAAATTCATTCGGTGCAATGAGATGGTATGAAATCTCATCTGGAAAATTGGATTTTTGGTGGAAGGCTGCGAGGATAAGGTGGAATGGAAACTAGAGCCTGTTGTTGGTTACTCTGCTAGGACGAGTTACAATTGCCTTCAGGATTGTCATGAGCTCGTGGACATTGAGAGCAACAAGAGTAAAACCTTACTTTCCCTGTGGCATGCTGACGTTCCATTGAAAATTCGAGCATTTGCTTGGAGGTGTTGCTTCAAAGACATTCCTATGATAGAACAACTTCTTCGTAGAGGTATTATCTCAACCCCCAATAGTTCTTTTTACGTTATGTTTTCCTCCGAAGTCGAAGATGTAAATCATCTTTTTTTCAACTGTCACATTTCGAGGTTTATATGGAAGAAAGTGTCTGAGTGGGCTGGCTTGGCAGTGGAAGAGAAAGACTCATTCTGGGAGAATTACATGGGTTGGATCAATTTTGAGAACATAAGAAAGTGCACGAGAGTTAAGCCTGGTATATTAAGGTTGACGGTTATTTGGCGTATTTGGTTATATAGGAACCATATCATCTTCAAGGGTTCTTAATTAGTTGTTTCAGATTTATTATGGGAGATTAAAAGTATGGCGTAAAAATGGAGTATAGTCAGAGAAAATTCTTATTCCAACTGCAATATTTTTGTTTTCTGTCATGATCCTCTAGACTGTTTGGCTTAATTTATAGTTGGTCCGAATTTTCTCTTGTTTTCTCCGTTGGTTTTTTGTCTTTTGTATGAAGGATTAGAGTATCCCTAGTACTCTATTTATCAAATTTCTTGCTTACAAAAAAAACTATTGTGTGAAAAAAAATTATAAAAAATTATAAAAAATTATCTTTCATTAATAGAATGAGAAAGACGAATTTACATAATTAAAAAAAAAAAGAAGAAAAATGTGATTTTGGTATTATAACACAGTTTATACTATAATACAATTTTATTTTTATATAAAAAAAATGATACAATTTTATTTCTAAAGTGATTTATAATTAAGAAAATGGAAAGTAAGGATTGTTTAAATGAGTTTTGATTTTTAGATTTAAAAATTATTTTTAAAATTAATTTTAAAAAGTAATTTTAAAGAAAAAATAAATTAAAATATATTTGAAAATCTTATTTTTAAACACTCTTAAAGTTGTAAAATATCACAAATTTGTCATTAGTGAAAAGTGTACCAATTTTATAAAATTAATAATTGCATATGCGACATCTCACTTGTTCATATTTAATAATGTGAACTCCAACCATTAGACTACTTAAAAAAAAAATCAAACAAATTTTATTATTTTAAAAATTTAAGAACAGTTTTACAAAATCAAATCAACCAAACATTTAAATCTTTATATCTACAAACAACACCCAAAAATACCTTACTTATATTCACTACTTGCCATATTCTTATCAAATCAATTTTACTTGTATGAATAATACCAGAATGAAAATGAGAAGAAACTAGATTCATATATGCGTTCAACGTATACTCCAAAATACTTTAAATGAGACGAAAAACAATGTTAAATTATTATCATCAAAACTTATTATTATCATCGCAACTTACGACTCAAATACAACAAGTTTAACAAAGATTAATAAAAATGATATAATTAAGATATGTTTGACATTGGCCAATTTGCTGGTTTATTTATTTATAGTTAAAAAAAAAAACTAGGAAAAATGACTTTGTGACGTAAAGCAAAGGCAGGAATGAACGGGCCAAAATAAACATGCAATGTAAATTGTTTTACTTTACGTCTCCACTAAAAAACAATGATGAACAAACCAAAGTGATGAACGGTGTTGAAACAAAGAGTACTATGCGAATCATGCATGATTGTGTCTTGTTTTTTTATCTTTCAATTAGTGGCAAAAGCTTTTAGGTCACTTCACAAGAAAACGAATTTGCTTGTTTTGATATGTAAATTGCAAAATAGTGCTCATAAGGACCCTAAATTATGTTCAAAAAGAGAAAAAATGAATATTGTCAAATTTGGCTCTTCCTTGTAGTATAAATTGTTTAGGTGCTTTGTTAAGTTGTTACAATTAATCAATACATTTGATTTGAGAACCATGATGACTATGAAATATTTAATTGCATTTCTCTTAATTCTTGTCATGAGACTTCCTCAAAGAAATGCTCAACTTGGTATTCTCAATGATCTTTTGGGTTCTGCTAATATCCAAGGAACTGTACTTTGCACTTCTAACGATAATGTGGATGCCATTAGTGCTCTAACCCCTGTTTTTTCAAGTAAGGCCAAAATTAACTCTCCGTGTCATTAACTGTGGTTAAATATGTTTCTTGTCCAACACTAACACGACACTGATACATGTGACTATTTTGAATTAGTGTCATATTATGTCAGGTGTCTGATCTTGTATCTAAAGCGATGATTAATTAATCTTATGCAATTATTTTTCAGATGCTCAAGTACAACTACGATGCGGAGGAGGAAACATGCTCTTAAATTCAACAACTAATGGTGATGGAAAGTTTTCAATGTTAATGGAGAATCCTTTGCTATATGATCTCTCTTCACTACTCACTGATTGCAACTTAATGGTTCCTACACCACTCTCCAGTTGCAACGCAAAACTTCCTTCTGCTGGTGGCTTAACTTCATCTCTCAAGTATGTTGGGACAAGTCGAATTGGAACTCGAACTCTTGCAAACATTGCACCATCTGGATTTCATTTCATTCCATTAACTTAGTTAAGAAATCATAACAGAGGATATTATTAAAATTACATTTAAATAAATTCATATCCTCCTATATTTTTAAATTCCATTGTACTACTTGGAATCTAAAATTCTATAATAAATTCCATTGTACTAAAGCTGAAAATAATACAAGTGTTTCTATTTACTTCCCTTAGACACAAGAAAGGATGTGTTATCTATGCTATGAGAAGAGGGGTTAGGTTCCTGACTTTTTGCTTGCCTTGTCCCTTTCTCAAACAAAATTCCTTATATGTGTCGGTTTGAAAAATAATTTTTCTTAGTATGTCCCATATGAAGAAGGGGTTCCCCAATTATTGGACCTGGATATACTATTTTCTTTTTATGTATATCATCGGCCATCCATTATACTTGGGTTTAAATATTTTAATATTTTTTCGTATTTTAATTAGTTTAATTTTTTTAATTACTTTTTTAATAAATATAAATATAATTTTAATATTTTATTAATAAAATAATATATTCTATTTTCTACTATAATTTTTTTAACTTTTTTAAATAGTTCATGAATTATATTTTGTTATAGAACGATATAATATTTATTTATAATAATAATTTAATTTGTTTAATATAATTGTATTATTTATTTAATTTAATAAATATTTTAATTACCCGTGACAGTTATCAACTGAGGGATGTTTTGGTTTGTAGATCCACGTCCAATAAAAGTCCAATGATTTGTGTATGAATTTTTTATAAATAGCTTGATGTGAAGAAGCATTATTCATCTCGCTTAGCATGAATATTTTTAAACATGTGTGTATGGACTCCTATGTTTTATTAGCATGACAAAAAATGAGTGTTTGTCTAGATCTGCAATAGAATTTCAAAACACCGGTTGCAGCGATCAAACGAGTTTTTGACAGTTGGGTGGTTAACGTATGAAAGTTAGAAAAGTAGAGTATTGTTGTCCATACATAATCTTAATGGATGATAGCCCTGAGGGTACATATATGTATTATATGAGTCATATTGAAAATGATTTCAATGTGTATTGCATGTTCAAAATCCACCAAGGAGAAGTTAACAGAGGGGTTGAAGATCCAGTTGTGTTGGTTGTTATTGTTAATTAGTTTCTTAAGAAGTATTTTGAAATTTAGTTGATGTAACTATACCATGTAATTGAAAGTTTTTTATATTAAATATATTTCTTGTTGTTTGCTCCATAGACATTATAAAGACATTACATTAGATAACTAACTACTTGACTAAAAAATCCAGCATAATCCTCTAGAGGAGTCTGTTTGTTCGATGAGGGCAGCGATTTAGAAGGAGGTCGAATGGATTGCTTAATGAAAATTTTTTATTTAAAATTTTGTTTTGAAAAGTATTATTCTATGGCAAGCAGAAGCGAATCCGGATTGACTCTCATCTATCTGAACCATTATTGGTAGAATCAGATATGCGTACAATAGTAGTAGAATGTCAAGTAAAATATAATTTGTCAAAGATGAAAAAAGCCAATCAACAAGTTTAATATAATTTGTTTGAATATAAACTACAGTTAAGATAAATGATTTCCAATGTCAAGTAAAATAAAACTTGACTAAATAATTTTTTCGAACACTTAGTATGTCGTAATTTTATCAAACACTTGGTGTGCAATACACCGAGCTTGATTATCTTTGTGTGAAGTTATAACAAATCAATTGTAATGGCTTCGATTGCAATATTTTCACAAAAACAGTTTTAAACACTTCAACACAACTAGAATTTTCAACAATTCAAATTACACACTAGTTGTTCTCAAAATCAAAATCGAGAGAGAGAGAGAGAGAGAGAGAGAGAGAGAGAGAGAGAGAGAACACTAAAATTTGCTTATGTGATTCCCTAATTGTCCTCACTATGGATACATTTGCCCTCAATTCGAAATTGAATTGAGATATCGTAATTAACCTTTGCAATATCAGTTTACAAGAGACGCAGTAGAAATTCAAACCCCTAAACCATATGTTTGATGTTGATACTAGCTCATTCTTTACCCTTGATCTTAGCCTTTCAATTTATTTTCTTGTTACCGCTACTCCTTTGACTAAAGCTTTCGTTCTTCAAAACTTTCAATCGGCTGAATCCAAATTGCGAAATCTTGCCCCCAAGCCTTTCAATTAATCCTCTGGTTACCGCTACTCCTTTGCAAGAACCCCCATTCTTCAATTCCTTCACTCGACTGAATCCAAGTTGACAAGACTTGTGCAAAAACCTCCAATTCAACCCTTGATCTTGGAGTAAAAACCCTAAATATTTTATCCTTGAATCCCCCAAAGAAAACCTTAACTTAATTTGATTACACAAACCTAAATCGAACCATATCAATCGTGTCTTGACACAATAAAAAATGATTATGTGTAGTTGATTAATGCGTCAAGAAAGGTTGAAGATGATGAGAATTCTTTTCATCTTTTGGGTTACAATTTCTTAGAAATGACGCATGAATACGTATTTATATGTATGTGTGTGTAGAAAAGAATAAAGCAAAACAAAATTTTAGCAAAAAATGCACATTTTAAATTTTAGTACAAAATGTGTTGACTCTAAATTGAATGAGTCAATACATTAGCTAAATGAGTCAATACGAGACCAAACAGAGTCAATACATTGAAGGCAGTTGCCACTTTTTAAAAAAATTGTTTCGGGATGAGTCGACTCCAAACACGGGAGAGTCGACCAATTGGCTTAACGTATTGACTCATTCGTTCAATGTATCGAAACATTGAAGACAATGACAAATCCTTGAAAACACCTTTTAGATTGAATCGATTCCAACCAAGAATGATTCGACCCATTCACATAATATATCGACCCATTAGAGGCAGATCCAAATTCTTTGAAAATCCAATCAGTATGTATCGATCCATACTAAAGATATATCAACCCATGCATGAATTTTTATGAAAAACTCATATTTTTGGCATGTGATGACATATATAATCTAATACGTGTCCTATAATAATGATGCACTTCTTAGACAAGGACTATAAGGTCCAACATGCATAGAGATCTAAACTACCTAGTTTTGACATCATGCAAAATCTATATAAGAGAATGTTGCACTCACACCGCTGTATATGGACATTTTCTACACATATGGCCTATTTGGCGACAAATCCCACACCTTCTATTTTCTTTTTCAATAGTGTTTATTATGGTTCTAATTCAGGTACTATTTGGGTGTCCTTTCTTCTTCCTTTGCATAGACTCATCGTGGCAAAGAGTACATCCTTCATATTGTGGTCAGTTTTCCTCATGTGAAAGTCCAAAGAAGCTTTCCTTGTAGACTTTGAATATGTTAAGTGTAACACCATTCTATACCCCAAAATAATAATCAGATATTTTAATTTGAAAAAATAATTACAAGGGTGTCACACACATCAAAACACATAACCTACTCTGTAACACAGATTACCATAAAATAAATTCGAATGCACATATTTATACCTGTAAGGTTACACGAAATCCAACACATCTGATTTGTACTTAGGATGTTACACGACATCCAACACATCTAATTAGGGTCAAGTACTTGTATAATAAGGCATTCAGTACATGCCCTCGCATGCTCACCCAAGAATTTACAGTATCATCGCAGCGAAATCACTAATAAACATATAAAAATAGTATTGTAACTCAAGACATTAAGTCTCACGAATTTCAACTTAATAGAATAATCAAAAGAGTGTGACACTCAACTCAAAACAACTTAAAAATCTCAACAACACAAAAAGTTTGTAACTTCGACAACAATAATATAAATATCAAATCAAGCATTTATCCCAACCCGATGTTACATGATTAGAGCAAGGAACCATTAAATAAAAGCGATAAACTATGGAATTAACTCCAAGGCTATCTTCCACTTACTTAAGCAATGATACTCTTGAGTATCTGCATGATGCCTATGTAAAGACAACATTCAAACAGAAGATGTGAGAATAAAATTCAATAATAACGTAAAAGACAATCAGAAGTAGATTAATCTAACAACATTATACACCAAATACAACCACATATGCATATCAAGTATTCGCATCCACACAAAATAACATCCAAGAAATCACCAAATGCAACTTAAATGCAATGCATCCAACAGCTGACTCAACATACATGTGGTACCAAATTATGAACGCACAGGTTCATTTTACTCCATGATTGCCACCATATGATCGATTCCCTCTTGGAACCGGAGCATACCAAATTGCTACCATCACCATAGGTAACGCTTCACTAATCCCCCATAATAGGAATTAGCTACTCGCACCCGATCCATCACAATGGGATCAAGGCTCACCAAAAATTGTTACCATCACCATAGGTAATACTTCATTAATCCCTCATAATAGAAATTAGCTACTCGCACCCGATCCATCACCATATGATCAATGCTCACAAAAAAGAACTAAGTTCCGACAACATGAATTCATGGACTCTCAACATGTAACAGCAACACATACACATTGACCCCTCTTCTGACCGTGTATGCCACCAACAACATAATCAACATCAAAATAGCATGCATATATTTGAATATACAACATCATTAACAGTATCCTCATAACATCATACACCATACACAATATTCATTAATATTACTACAACCAACAACAACATCAACTTCAGCAACTCACATATGCAAACTAATAAACATACAATCTTGTAACAACATTATCATGACATCATCAACATATCAACATCATTATCACACGACACTATCACAACAATGCATTGATTCATCAACCAAACATATAAATAATCAACTCCAAAAACATAGTAGATATAGGAATAATATATAAACTTTTCAACAATCATTATTATGCTATGACTCTGAGCGTTATCTTTCTAACGCTCCAAACAGGGCGTCATTTGGACTTACGGGTCAAAAGTTATGAGGTAAAACGTCAAAGCATGTCATAATGAAAAATAACATATGAACAATAAAATAAAATTATGGAATTGTAGATACGTGGATAATATTTAAA